TTGTTTTTCTATTTTTTTTCAATTTTATTTTTTACATTAAATTGATTGAAAATTAAACTACATAATTTTACAACTCCTTTCTTTTGCATTCATTGTGTTAGGTCCTCTGCTCGCTTGTAATCGTTTACAGTTGTACTTTAAGCTTTGTTGACAGGTATTAATTTATTGTTGGCTGGAAACATGTCATAAAAAATAATTAGAAAAATCTAGCTTCGAAGACAAGGGAACCCCATTATTTATGGATAATTAATATGCCTTCTCAGCTAAAGGCATCGCATAACCATAAAAGCAAACTTTAGAATTAAAATTCCAAAATTAATTTCTTCAAGCTTCATTACCACTCCACAAGAAAAACCCACGAGCAATTTACAAAGATATTCAAAGATTTGCCAGGAAAAATCAGCTTAATGATGCACTCATCATTATGGACTACATGGACCAACAGGGCATCCCAGTTAACCCCACTACTTTTTCTGCCCTCATAGCTGCTTGTATTCGATCGAAATCTTTGACCAAAGCCAAAGAAATACACACGCATTTACGCATAAATGGGCTTCAAAACAATGAGTTCTTGCGTACAAAACTTGTCCACATGTACACTTCTTGTGGTTCTATTGAGGATGCCAAAAGCGTGTTTAATGAGTGCACTTCTACTGCTACTGTGTATCCATGGAATGCCTTGATTAGAGGGACTGTGATATCAGGTAAAAAAAGGTACGGGGAGTATTGGGATTTGCTATTAAGAAAAAATAAATTATGTAATCTATTATAAAAAGTAGGGTTATTATCATGAAAAGACTATAAATATAGTTATATCAATTATTGATAAAATGGTACAATTTATATATTATAACTATTAGTATCACAAATTATACCATGATTTGTGGATCTTGTCTTATCGTTGATGTCTATAAACAAAGGTATTATTTGAGAGCAAAATCAGAGAGTATTAGAGTGCAAAAAATGAGAGAAGAAGAGAGAAAGAGGGGTTGTCAAGGGCAGCAGTGTGTGTGAGCTGGGAGTTAAGTTTGAATGGGTGTAATCCTCCTCCTCCTCCATGTATTTGTTTTGTATTTTTTCTCTATCTCTAATAATATTGACTCTCTCGTAGATATAGGCGCTTTGCCGAACCATATTAAATATTATGTTAGTGTGCTTAGCCTCCTATGAGTAAATATCAATACATCACCTGTCCGGATTCCCCAACAATTAGTATCAAAGCACATGATTTAAAGTGGTGTTCGATTTTGCTCAAAAATAAAAATTATTAAAATTATGTTTTGACCATACCACTGTGTAGAGGAGGAAGAGACGAAGACACTGGTGAAAACCGCGTTGAAATCGGACGTTGGCCATGGCCGCACGCGCCGGCGAGGTGGCTGGCCACGAGCGTAGACACGCGCCACATGTTGCATGCGTCTTCTTTGCCCAGATGAGCTGACCCGACTTGAATTCCAGATGACCCAACCCACGTGCCTGACCTAGATAAGGATGACATCATCATGGTGTCATCATGCACAACTGACATGCCATGTCAGCGATTAGTTAGCAAAGA